CCGCGCCCGCCTCGCTCGCGGGGCCTCGGGTCCCTCGCTCCTCTGAACCGCGTTCCTCTGCCGTAGGACCTGCGAGAAGTGGCCGAAGATGAACCCCCAACAACAGCGCATGGCCGCGATAGGGACCGACAAGGAGCTGAGCGACCTGCTGGACTTCAGTGCGGTAGGAGCGCTTTCCACGGCTTTGGGGTCTCGAGGGTCACAGCGCGAGCGAGCGGGGAGGGAAGACGATCGGGATCGGGGATGAGCGGCGTGAACTCCGCTTCGAGCTCTGCCGCTTCCCGGGGCCGGAGACCAGCTCCCCAAGTTGCACACCTGAACTTTGATGTAACGTCTAGACTTGCAGATTTCAAACTTTAATGCCAGAGGGGTGGTTTGATTTACCTAGTTAGAATAACAACAAGGTAAACATGAGCTTTGGTTGAGTCACTTTCTGACCCTTATACATTTTAGTTTTTAGACTTTATATGAAAAGTAGAAAATCATTTCTTTCCCACTGCTTGTCACCATTTGCTTTCCCCAAATCTCCTATGGCTTATGGTACCCGAAAGATGTCACCTACGAGAAAGCCACTCTAGGTTCGCTATCTAAAATGACTTAGAAAACCGTAAGAGGCCAGTGCCTTTATTTCTTTCTAATGGGAACTGTTAATATTCTTATGTATGTAATAATTTCATTAAACTTGATTCTAACTTGTGTGTTAATATTAATGTCATATGATTAACCCAATTTTAGAGTGAGATTCGTGGGTAGAAATTAATAGTTTAAACTTCTCTTGGAATCTTTCATGTAATTAACTGAGTTTTCAGAATAGAATGTCACCAGTGTTTCCAAGTAGTGTTAAGAAATAGTTACCATTTAGTGTTGCCGTTCAGGGACTGTGTTTATCACCAATTTTATTTCAACTTTCCTGTGAAATACAGTAACTGAGGACACTTGGTGGACTTTTGTGTGCAAGGCATCTAAAAGAATTTCAGGATTAACGGGAACATATGGGTTATTTTGCAGATGTTTTCCCCACCTGTTAATAGTGGGAAAACCAGACCAACGACACTGGGAAGCAGTCAGTTCAGTGGATCAGGTAAGATAATGTCTGAAACTAGAGACTCCCATTTTGATGTTCTGATACATTCTGGTTGAAAAGTGTGAAACATTTTAAATCTGTCTCCATGCTAGGTCAAGTTAAAATTATAAACAAAAGCAAAAAAGCCTCAAACTTGGACAGTTGCACCAAAGATTTGATAGATCTGTAAGCATTTCAGTATGGACTTAAAATTCTCTTTTCTGTGAATTTTAAAATTGAAAATTGTCTTGAGCACAAGGGATTACATATGCCTCAGTATTAGAAAAGTGGCATTATAAAATGTTCTGTGGTCCATGGATGGTCTTTAGAAGAAAAGAATACTTGTTTAGCATAAGTATATACAGTTTTTAAATTTTCAGCTTGTTAGCATTATTAATCCCTGGGTTCTAGAAAATGGACGAAACAGTATTATTGACTGTGTATAAGAAGTGGAATTGACAAGTACAGTGATAAGTAAGATCTGCTTATTTTGAAAGGTGATCATTTCTTTGGAAATCCATAGCAAATCAGTAATTTTGTGGACAGTTATTTAAAATGTTAATCGACTAAATATTAGAAATGATTAGATTTATTTTAAATGACACCTTTTAGATTACTGTATTATCTCCTGTGTTCAGATTGTTAGGATAATGTTTGGGGTGAATCAAGATTCCTATTTCTATGCCAGTACTGTTATCTTTAAATTTATTTTTGGTGCATTTATAACTACTGTGTTCCATTATTAAACATTTAACCAAGGTGGGTGTGGTGGTTTACACCTGTGATCTCAGCACTAAGGGAGGCTGAGACAGGAGGATGGAAAGTTGTAGTCTAGTCCAGGGAGGACCCTGTCTCAAAATAAAAAATGAAAAGCTGGGAATGTAGCTTAGTGGTAGAGCATCCCTGGGTTCTAGCCCTAGTAGTGGCAAAATGATATATCTTATGTTTTTGCTTTTCTAAATTCTTTTAAACTTATAATTTAAAAATGAATATTCCAGAAGCAAGGTTCATTAAAAGCTGTATTTTTCTGTTTAAATTTATTCCTTAATCATGTCTATAATTGCAGCACTTGGGAAGCTGAGGCAGGAAGATTGCCATGAGTTCAAAGCCATCCTGGGCTCTGTAGGGATTTCATGGCCAGCTTGAACCACCTTGTCTCAAAAAACAAAACAAAAAAAGCCTTAGTGCTCAGAGAGATAAAATAAATAAAGCCAAAACAGCATCATCTTAAAACCAGCTGTCAAATCTCTAGGCTGAGTAATTCCTTTGACCAGTAATTTTTATTTGCCTTAGTAAAATGATAGTTGATTTTTAAAAAAGTACTGTGCAAGTAAAACATCAGAAAATAAAATAAATATCATAACTACTTGAACATTTTATTCCACTTTACATTTAAAAAAGTTTCTATTTAAAACCATAAACTAATTTATTTAGATTTATTTTTAATTTTGAGATTACAGCTTGTGGGAAAAATGTAGCCTGTCATTGAACATTTTAAGTAGGTAAAATAAAATTATTTTTGTACAGTTAGCTGAAAGGATAATAAAGTATTATTTTTGATCAAAGGGTGTTGTGAAATTTAGCCAGACCCCAACTTTTGTTTTTAGTAACTAATCATTTGAAAACTTTCGTTAGTTGAGCATAGGAAAAGAAAATTATTAATTTAGAAATGGGCTATATTTCCTTCCTTTACTAGGGTTTTGAGTATAATTCAATTTTTGCAACTAAATTCATTCACAGAAACTTTCAAATTTACTTTGGTAGATTTACAAGGTAGATGCGTAGTATATTTCCGTAAGTGAGTGTTGATATTGCTGTTTCATGCTGTTCACCTTAAGTTGTAGACAGTATATCAGCTGTTAACAAGGACTTGGACTTCAGAAACTTGCCATTTTTAATACTTTTTGTTTTTAGAATAAGAGAAAAAAAGAATAGTGGTTTATGATACAAGAAAGTCTGTGAAATTAAAACAGTATGTGTTTAAATTCAGATGTGGATTAGGAATTTGGCTTTGGAGTTGTTAGCCACCATTCAGTAGGTTGCATTACACACATACATACATATGTTTTTCCATGTTGTAGAAGTGGTCACATTTGGTTTTTTTGGAGTAGGAAGTGTTTAATTTTTAGTTGGAATTGTTATTCATTGAAAGTTTGAATTTGAACACTTGTACTTAGTGGATGTGGTTTTAAGTTTTTGGGAAATTTGTTAAAAGAAAGCTGTGACCTTCAGTAATTAGTGAGTAGATTTAAATTTTGAGAAAAGAACATATACTTATTTTATGTAAAAATTTACTGATATGGCTTCACTAAATCCCTTATCTTAAAGGGAGTGTCTAAGATAAATCAGCCAAGTGATATGTGTAGACTTTGTATACTCACTGACTATGCGTAATCTACCCTGATTTCAAAAGATATGTAATACCTCCTAATAGTTTATTTGTGGCATGTAAGGAGCTAAAGATCTGAATTGTCTTTTGTAGAGCTGCTGTAATGATTAGAGATTTTTTGTTTTGTTTTCAGAATAAATTTGTAAAAACCTAATGTTTTTTGCTTTGTGAAAGCTATAGTTCATAATTGTGCAGTATATTTTCCTTTCAGTTACTTTTCCTTAATTTCACATTAGACTATTTTTTAGAAATAGTATGTAATACTTTCAGAATTTATCTGAAAGCATACAGTATGTGTTATAGTATGTGTTTTTTTTTATTATGTTTCCAAAGCAAAACAAATAATTTGTATGATGGCTGATACTTTGAAAGTCAGTGGAAAAGATATATATTTACTATTCGCTTTAAGGAGACTGTTATAATGTTATTTCTTCGTTAAGGTGTTAATTTCCTTTGCATTGTTAGTTTAGACTATGAATTTGTTCATTGGGCCTAATAGCCTCAGTAAAGTGAGAGGTGTTTCTGTGGGAGTAAAAAGTGAGGTATTGTATTAAGGTAGTGTATAGGAAAGAAAGCTTGTTGAAAAAAATTATCAAACTGCAAATGGTTCAGGTGTTTCAATTGAGTACATAGATACAAATTGTGATTTTGTGTTTTAAGTTTTAGTAGAAATTTAAGTATTCGTATGCTATCTGAAAATTTCTTTTGTTAATTTTTGAAAACAAGTAATAAGAGATTCTGGAAAAGAGTGCTACATTGTGATATAGGCCATCTGTATTTATTGAGTATGTCTCTGATGCTTCTGTTTGCAAAGTTATTTTAACAAAGAAGTAAAGCTTTACTTTTCCCTATTCAGATCAGACTTTGTAACAGTATATCTGCTTAATATTTTTTTTGAAATAATTTTTAGACATGTTTTCTAGAAAGTTTTTAAAACGAATGCAATTTGTTATTTTTAAATTACTGATCAAAGAGAGTTTTCAGATGGACATATATAGTCTTTGAAAATATTGACTGACAAGACTGAAAAACTAAATTCTCATTTGATCTTCAGTTAAACATTTTGTTTTGAGATAATTACAGATTCACATGCAGTTATAAAAAATGATACAGAGATCCCAGGTTCCCTACAGAGGTAACATTTTGCTAATCTGTGGTACAATATCACAGTAAGGTCACTAGTACAGTCAAGGCACAAAACTATTCTTATCACCACAGGGGTTTTGTTATGTTGCCCTTTCTATTAAATGTGGTAAGATTATTAAATATCTACTCCTCCTGTTAAACACTTCAAACTGATTTAGCAGTATTTTATCAAGGAAAAAATAAAACCAAAATTTTACCAATACATTTTTAAGCTGAATTGTAGCTGAATTTAAGCTGAAATGTGAATAGTGATTATTATGGAAAGAATGTGAATTTGGCTTTTCACTTGAAATATTTTAAGGTTATGAGTAGAATGTGGGTCATATTGTGTACCATTCTATGTTGAAATCTATAACTAATTTTTATTAATACACTTGTTAAAAATTTGTTAAAATTAAAAAAACATGTTAGACATTTGTTTTGGGTAGTGATGAATGATATGAGTAACTTTAGAGTCAGCAGGCATGTGGGGGGAAAATTAATATAAATATGGTCTTGCTGTGAAGTAGCTCACTTAAGGTAAAGGTTAGCAAGTGGCTTTAAAGAAAACTTTACATGAAAATGCAAACTTGGAAAATAGGAAGATCAGAGACAAGTTTATAACTGTGAGTACTGTGTGCTCTTCAGAAAAGTTCTGTATGTTACTCTATGTCATGGGGAAAGACTACCTACCTAGTGATTCTCAATTCTCTTGAAGTAGTTTTGAGTGTTAAGTCAGCTAATGCGTAGGTAAAGCTTCAGGGATAGCCCTTAGCTCCTAGGGAGCTATTCTTGGGGGAGGGGAGAGTTGGATTGTGCTGTGGGGGGCACTAGGATAAGAAGCACAGGCTCTTTTGTACTGATCTGTGGATGAAGTGATAAAGGTTTGAATGTGATGTTAGAGGAAGTAGGAAAGGAGAATACCAGGAGTGAAGGAGTGACAGAATTCAAAGGATTGGATTTCTATTGGGAAGAGAAATGATTCAAGGTTGTAGAGTGCTGGAGGTAATGACATGTTGAAGTGTTCTAAGCTTTTCAGATTTCACACAACGGGGCTGGGAATGCAGTTTAGTGGTAAAGTGCTTGCCTAGCATTTGTGAGGCCCTAGGTTTAATTTCTCCAGGCACCCCCCTTTATAAGGGGTGAGTGAAATTCACAGAACATGCTACTCTTCTGGCTAATTTGGAGATTTTGAGAAAAGAGTGCTAGGAGAGGAATTAATGATGTTGGTTAAAAAAAATCTTATTTTGCCTATAAATTAATACATGGTTGTCATTGTAAAGAAAATTAGCAGAAAAAGCAGTCAGGGAGGAGGAGGAACAGAACAGCTTTTATTTCACTATCCAGAGAAAATGGTTTTGTTTTTGTTTATTTCATTTTCTTTTTTTGATAGTCCTGTGTTTGCAAAGTTGATAGCTTGATGATGGTTTCATTTTGCTTACTGCTTTTTAATTTCACTTACTATTCTATCGTGAGTGTTTTTACATGTTACAAAGAGTCTGTA